CTCCATGGCTGGCTACTTAAATTCTGTTCTTTTTTACTATTCAAATGTAGCAATGCCAATTCAGCCTTCTCTGCAACAGTTCCAGCTGGCCTGCTCCAACCAGCCAAAAAAAATGGTGTTTTTAACAACATATGCGAACTCGACCATACAACTCATGCAGAAAAAAACAGTACTACTTTCCAGTAGCATCAGATGTGCTGAACTGGCACATTACAGGTGCAGCTGGTCCAGAACTTTAGTGCCATTTTTCCCTGTATTTGCATTAAAGAAGCCAGTGCCTCACATCACAACCAATTTGCAGCATTACAGATAGGGATTGTGTAAAATACACATTTCTCAATTTTCATTACTGTTGTCCATTGCAGATTAAGTACTGCAAGAGTAGTGGCCTGCAGAAAAGCACGTTTACAGCAGACCATCTTGGGATCAATAGCTAGCTGTAAAGCTATTGATAGCATAATTCCTGTAACTTCCAATCAAATGCCCTTGACAGATATGACTCAGAAATAAAAACAGTTACCATGTAACTGCTGTAGGAAAGAAAAAATTCTGGGAGTCACTACACTGAAAACCAAGCTCTTTCTATGTAGCACAATTAATCAGGAAGCTTTCATGCTAATGTGCCATTCATGAACATAATGAGAAAAATACCTTCAGTCTTAAAAAAAAAAAAAGTATAGACATCAAAAATAAGATAAATCAATAAAATCTAGGTTTAAGATTTTTTTTTTTTTGGTTGGTTGGTTGGTTTTTGGCTTCTTTTCTTTCCCTGTAGAAACAGAGCTTCATTGACAGTCTAAAGTTCTTCAATTGTTTCTCTTTTGTACCTTCTACACAATTCTACTCTTAACCAGGCAACACTGTCACTTCTTGAGACCAAAACGTGAACACCTAGTTTCACAAGTCTAATATCATTTCATTAACAAAGTAGAACCATAAAAAATTAACTGTGTTGTTTTACGTTGTGTAATAAGTTTATGAAGGAAAGCAGAGAGGCCTCATAACAAAGTGTTTCCAACACGACGATTACTCCAGCAAAAACAAAGCTATTACTCACGTTCTCTTCAAAAATACGACTTCCTATTCCTCACTGCTTTCATTTTTGCATCTACCTCTCATGATCCTTCTCAAATCCTCCCTCTGAATCTACAGCTCTTCATTTTCCCTAGATGCACACTTTCAACTCATTATTACCCAATCTCGTCTTACCGTGGGAAGCACCCACTGCTTTTAACCTATACTCATTGTAGAGCCTGATATGAAAGTTCTTTATGAAAGTTGCCACACTACCAATTTTTGTGTCAGAAAACGTGATTACTGATGTTTCTACTTCCAGGAGGTCAGTAAAATAACACATTAAACTTCTCAGCAGGCCTTTACACACTGATGTGATATATATGCAGAAGTACAAAAGATACTTCTGTAGACAAAAAGGCAATTCAAGCCATAAGCAAGCTGAAACTTTTGAGGTCAATACAACACAGCTGACTGCTATTGCAAGGTCTTTAACAGGTAGATAGATACAGTTCCACAGTGCACTGTATGACAGTCATTGACAATTCACTTTTCCCCAGAAAATTGAGATCTGATACCATGATTTAGCGTGGCATTTTCATAAAAACCTTTAGAATAACAATGCATTTAATAAGACCAAGTCATTTGAGTTCTTACTGGAACTACTTCCCCTTCAGCATGTGCCATTTAATTTTGTTGCCTAAAAACCTTCCAAACACAGGTTCAGTCACAGTGGGATGGTTTTTCTTTCCATTTCACATTTCAGAGTTTTCTCAAGGCAGCACAGCAAAGAATAGCTGTGGCAGAGAAGAGATTCAGTCTCTCATTCCACTTCCAACAGCTGTACAGCATATCAACAAGAAAGGAGACTTGTCTTATCTATGGCTTATGAAAGTTACTATAGGCCCTCATCATCATCTTCATATCAAGCAGCAGTTTCATCAGCAGAAAGCTCCCACTGTGATCAACAGGAAGTAGATTTCTGTGCCTCTTCTGAAATGACATACAAGCTGTTAATGAGAGAAGTGATAAAACACAGACTGAATCATGAAGATCCACTACCTATGTGAAATCTCTGCTATTCTGTGAACCCTTATTTTTCATTATACAGATATAGGTGAACCATGTGCTATGTATAAACTGCCTTTCTCCCACTCACCAGATCAGTGTATCTTTGAGAAGCAGCAGCTAGTTTTTATCCATTTCTTCACCAAAAAAGTGACAAAATCTAAAGCTTGTTTCACGTAAGGGGAAATTACACAGTTTGAACCCTGCTTCTATCTACTCCACTTAACCATCCTTTTCTTTAAAATTTCTGCATCTTCCCTGTGAAATCTTCCCATCTTTTGTTATAGATTCAAAACCAGAATTACAGGCATGGGAAAGAAGTACATTCTTTCACTGATGTTATGCATACAGATTTCTATCTGCTGTTCCAGTGACAAAAATGTCAAATAAGGAATTTTTATCATAAGTAAAACCATATTAATATATATTTTCAGTGATACAGTGACTACTCTGTATTCTGATCACTAAGACTGTTATTTTCCTTTTATTTACCGGTGCAAAAATTATAGTACAAAACGCATGTCTGTTAAGGGATGAGTAATTCATGAGGTAAATATTTTTCAGCTCTCGCATAACATGGCATTACTATAAAATAAGATTTCCTTAAATTGTGCAGTGTTATTTCATCTTCAGAAACCCTGACACTTTCCACAAGGAGGACACCAAGCGACTGGCTGGTTTTTAGAGATCAGCAGATGGACAAATTAAAAACACTACTCTAAGGACTAGTGTGAATCCCACAGAGCAGGTAGAGAAGGTCTATTTGTTAAACAACAAAAGCCCAATGCTGGAAACTCTCCATAATCACTAACACATGTTGTTCAAGTGACCTCCCTCCTCAGGGCCAGCATTCCATTCCTGCACGTTGAGCAGGGAAGTGCCACTGAAGATGCTTAAGCACAGCTCTGCTGAAGCAAACTAATGAGGGCACTGGGCATGCCCTGAGAGCCAGGTGCTGTTCTTGAGCTCAGCATGCAATTTCCTGGGAAATTCATCCAGTTATTCATCCAGTACTCACCAGCGCCTGCCCAGAGCTGGCAAGACTCAATTGCCAAATGCTTCTTTATTGAAACTCCATCTTATGAAAAAGTCCTTCTGATGAAATTAATATAAAGTGGATATCCCATCCATGATGAATAGCAAAGGAAATAATACATGGACAGCTACAGTATACACAATGCTCTCCACTGATATGAACATACTACCTGTGGTAGTCTTTCATTCCCTTTTATTGTTTGTTTTATGGGTTACAAGTCTATCTGTGATAAGTGGAAAAAGTGAATTGTGAATTTGACATCTGAATTTACAGATTACGAGAATTAAAGACTTCAGGATTTGGAACTGAGATGTTAACCCCTTGCCAAGAGCAAAGAAACAGATGTATTATTGGAAAAAAAGGTAGTATATTTCAGTAACCAGGTTTGCTACCACGGAAAATAGGTGACAGCAGTTTCTACACAGGATATCTGTGGTTTCACCAAGTCCAGAATTCTCTGGGGATGTAACTGCCTTCCCCTTTGAAGGTTTCTGAGTATAGCAGCCTAGTTTCTTTCAGGCTTGCAAAGCAAAAGCTACAGATTAGAAGGGACAAAAGAACAGCAACTATGAAAATGATGCTTAAGGCATCCTTCTAAAAGCCCTTTTTTATTGAAAATTACCATTAGAATAATTTTAATTTCAAGCTTAATCCTCTGCTATATAGCAACATGGTCATCACTACTGGGATGTACTTACAGTGCTGGTTTTGTTTCCAGTGTTCACTGGTCAAAGATTGCATAGGACAGTAGATCAACAAAAGTTGAATAAGCAGTTAATTACAAAAGTCAACCTCTTGTGCAGCTTTCTTTTCTTGTTGTTTTTAAACCATGAGTGGCCCAAATTAATAAATATCTCATTGATTCATCCATGAAAAAGCTCCATTACATAGTAATAATGCAAATAAGAGCTATACTGCAATTGCTGAAGACTGTAAAAAATCTAAACTATACACAGAGATGCACATAAGATTATCTTTCCAACAGCAATCTAACCTCAATTTCCTTTTTTTTATATTCTTTTCATACTAAGTCACCACACCAAAAATCACACACATCACAATGTAAACACAAAGTATTTGCAGGGTTTTAAAACGCTGAATAGAAAATTTATTGTCCCCATTACAGATGCCATGTCCTAAGATGAGAGTACTGAAAATACTCTAAGTTGATCATATGGAACAATGTTCCTACCAGTTTGAGCAGGGTAAAATAAAAATAAAAAACTAGGCACATACTTCTCTTCACTCAAAGCTTGGCACAAACTGAGTTTTATATTTTTTCTTATTGCTTCTTTGCACCCATCAAAGGGTATTAAATTTCCTTGTGCAGAGACTTCTTTTTGCTATGTTTCAGCACAAAGTAAAATTTTTGCTGAAGAAGGTGCATCAGACACAGTGAAAATGCTAACTCTAACTTTTGGGTTAATTCCAGGAAACATAACACTGTGAAAATTACTCCAAACATAGAAAAGAGGAAGCATGTGTGAAAAAAATATGGCAATAGTTATTTTGAAAATTATTTCTTAAATGAATAGTACTCTGCTTTGACAGAAAGTGTTTTCAGGGAATGGGTAGAGGCCATGTTGAACTTCCCTACACAGCTATATGACCCTTGCCAATCAATGACAATGCTTTATTAATATTTTACTTCAGAAGTGTGAGATAATTCAAACTTTGGCTTTCTTTGTAGCTGTTGCTAAGCAACTTCACTGCTTGTCTGAGAATTAGTTTTCACTGCAATCTTTCCTTCAAACCAAAGACTTGTGTCACTTAAAACACTTTCCCTTCGCCAGCGAGGGGCCCAGCAAGTTCTATCCCCCCAACACTTATATTTCCTTTTCCTTGTTAAATTTAGCAGCGTCTGAAATTCTGTTTCACTCACCGTAATCGCTGTCATAAAAGACGATGAATTTCTGCCACCGCAGCTCAGTGACCAATTTCAGCATAACATCATTGAGGCGGACGGGCGGCCGGGCAGCCAGTGTGTACTCCTCCTCCTCCAGGCTAGGGTTCAGGTGGCAGGCGGTGCGTGGGGAGCCTCCCGTGTTGCGCTGCACAAAGAGATGTGGGATGTGCATGGCATCTGTCAGGGACTGCAGGGCGTTGGCCGAGGCGCAACCTGTGGATGTCACCAAGGCTAAGATCCCCAGGGTCATCAGGTCGCAGGCTGCAGAAGACAAAACATAAAGGTGGGTTAGAGCAGGCTCTGAAATTCCTTTGACTGACTTGCACACCAGGAAGGGGACATGACAGGCTTTGCCCTTGCCATTAAGACAGAGTGGAAGAGATTTCTGTTACAGTATCAGCTGAAGCCTTTCAGAGATCATCCTGTATCTTTACAGTAGGTGACTTCAGTCTGTACAGATAAGATTAAGTTGGGGACAGATAACATTACTGCTGCCATTTCTTCATACCAAAGCCAATATAAATGGAGATGTGGCCCTTACTGCAGGGCAGAGGCAGGAACCAAACTCCAGATCCTCACAACTCACTTCACTGCTTTCCCCTCTATGCTGCACGCGCTGTGAGTGGCCTTTGGATAACAAAGAGTAATTTTTGTTTCAAGGATTTGTTTTAAACAACAGAGTTTCAAAAGATTTTTAAATTGACGAAGAAACATTCACTGAGTACCTCTCAGAGCAACAACAGAAGTGCTCATTAGAAGGAAGGCAATTCAGGAATGACTAAACAATCATTAGTAACACTGTAGTTCCCTTTAGAAAAATCAGGGAAAGCATGTGCCACTGAAAAACAGATACAGATATTTGAGCCCGTTCACTTCCAAGAATGAAGCAAAACCAAGCTCAAAGCACAGCCTGGCAGGATGGGCAATGCCAGCAGCAGTGCCCTGCCGCCTGGGCCTACTCACACCTGGCTTGCTTTTCCTCAGGGTGAGCCTGACTTCAGCTGGGGCTGCAAAAGGCTTTCACCACAGCCCTCAGCTACAGCTCAGCAGCTACTCTGTCAGTGCTGTGGTACAGCATATCCCAGGAGCTCTCAGCAGCCACAAGCCTTCACGCAGGAGCCCAGTGCTTCTCACCACGTTCCTCCCTTGAAGAGGGCTGGGGATTCACCTCTCGGGGGGAACAGACTGAGCACAAATAGGAAAATGAACACAGGGTACTGGAAGGATTCTTTTGTCCTCCCTTTTCTAACGTTTTCATTTATATGTCCATGTTCAGAGGTCAAAAAGCCAAGGGAGAGGGAGAGTTTATGAATAATTAATAACAATTAGCTGTTAATTATCAATTAATATAGATTTTTATGAAGTCATGGTATTTGAATACATAAAACTGTGCCTAATTCAACCAATGCATCATTTCACCAAATACCTTCTTAGAGCAGACAGAAAACAAATTTATTTCACATTGATATGAGATAATTGAGAAAAACATTTTATCTTCTCTATAAACAGTGTTCAACATGTATTCTAATACAACAGAGAAAAATGAAATGCTTTCAAAATTATTTTCTTGATGATCTTTACAATAAACACGTCAGCTGCATTATCTAAATTTACTCTGTTAATTATAGTTATATGAATTTGTACTTTGCTTTTCCTGAGAGCTGACCTGGTTTAGCAACAGGGAGGCATTACATTTGCCAAATGGGAGATCCAGGTTTGGGAACAGATTTGATTTCCCAGGCTCCTTGCCAGAGAAAACTGAACATGTCATACAGGTAATTTATTTAGTCACAGCAGGGGAGGGAACAAGAAACAGAGAAGTGAGAACAGAGGGAGAGAAGCGCAGAGCTGAGCTACGGACCCCTGTGGAGAGCACCAGCCACTGAGCTTTGCTGCACTAAGGGTGAGAAAAGCAAAGCCCCACAAATCTACGGAAGGAACAGTTTACTTGCAAACAACACAGAAGAAGAGAAGAAATAAAGCCCTTTCTTGCAAGAGACTGCATTCAGAGAGTCACTTATTCATGGAATATAGAACCCATCATCAGTTGCATTACAAGAGAGATCTTCATTCCGAAGGTGGCAGTAATCAAAAGCCGCTCACTTACCAGCAGCAAAAAGACCTGTGGTACAACAGACCACAGCAAATGGTCCCCCACTTCTCTTGGCACAGACCAGAGCTCAACTATCTCAGCAAAGACTGCTTTGGTTGAGGAACTGTCACAGTGTTCTGCAGTTTGTGCCAATGGGTTAAAATGAAGAATCAGCCAATCAGCTTTTACATTGTGATATTTTGTCAATTGATTGTTTTCTGCCTGAAAGCATATGCTACACAGTAAGTGTTTTTTCCTCTTGCCTTTCTGTTTTCAGATAGTACTGCCAGCAATAAAAATTGGAATGACTAAGGAAAAAAGGTTTCATATTTTCTGAATCATTTTCTTTAGTCAAATTACAGAATGTGAAACCGAACATGCCATCACTTCAATAGAAGACTTGCATTATATAAAAATACGATGGATTCCAAGAAGTTTAACTTCCACAGTCTTCACTGAAGCTAAGAATAGGCCCTTAGCACATTTAGAAGAAAACTACTTTCTACATGAGTAGCACAGTGGGCAACAACTACAGAAGTATAATAGACTCTAATTCATTAACTCATTAACTCTCAAGACATCTTGCAATTGCTTAGCAATAGGACGTTCAAGGATTACATGATCTCAGAAGAAAACTGCTGATTTCTCATGTCATTCTGTGGCAAGAGAAAAGACGTGTAATTTTATTTTACCTCATACTAGCTATTGATATAGGTTTGTTTAGCAATAGGGATTCCTACATTAGATTGCGAATCAATTTACTACATCAGCAAGAGAAATCATTAAGCGATAGCTCTAAAACTTTCCGTTTCAACTTTAGTGTGTGAATAGTCTTGTTTTCCTCAATAATTTTGCACTGCGGACATAATGGAACACTTTCATCTTTTGCCTCAATGATTTTGCCTCACAAGAAGCACCGGTGTCACCATAGAATACCTTAATCTTTTGCCTCAAAAGGCACAAGGACATTTTCTTTAGATTCCACATACACTGTTTTAAAAAGTTGCACACTATGGCCTAATGAGCAGCGGAAGTTTTCCAAAGGCCTCAGTGATAAAACTGATAGTGAAAAATGTGGAAGTAGGTGGGCACTTGACCACCCCAGACAGCACTGAGCAAGCCCAAAGAGACATTAGCATATATTTATGAGTCCTTGGAAAGGAATGGATATGTATGCCAATGCACTGCATATACATGTCTTAATAAAACGTACAGTGTGAACTCTCAGACAGTGCACTTCCTTGTCAAGTCACTGGTATGCACTGCAAGGAATAAAACAATGCTGCTTTCTAACAGCACACTGTAGATAGAGGGTTTTCTTCCCGGGTTTTGGATGACACTACAGATTCTGAGCAACCATTCAGCATCACTCAGCATGTGACTGAGTAGATCTATAGTTACGTACCTCGGCTATCATTTCACAAGTACCTCAATGGGACTTCAACTTCTTGTACATAAATTGCACAAATCCCATCTTTATTTCCTTAAAGCTGAACAGAAGTTTGAAGCACTGTGGTTCACACAAGTTTATTAGCATAAGGGAGAGAGGAATCCAAATGCACTGACTTTTTGGTCATTTTTTTTATTACTAGAGATGTACCACACTTTCATCTAGCAAAGATACTTTCATATTTATCTACCCTGAAGTTAATATTCTGAAGTTTCAAGAAATAAAGAAATAATGACTTTTAATTTGAGTTTGACAGATAAAAGAGACAGTGTTTTGGCAAACTTGTCTGCAGATTGCAGTGCTATATGAATAGCAATAGTTATTAGTTTCCTGTATTGAATGCCTTCATCACTGTCAGGATGCAATTTAAGAGGATACCACCATCCCAGAAACCATGCTGTAAGAAATATACATGGTAACCTGGTGAAAACATGATCACTACACTTAAAAGAATAAATCTGCATTTAAACCATTTGAGTTGATTAAACTATTTAGTGGCGCTATTGGTCAATGTTCTAACAGTATATAATCTCTCAAGCTTATACTTGATTTGTTTCCTAAATTATTAATTAATACAGTTTTTAATCATCTCAGTGAAGTATCTCTCCTAACCTGTTCTTTTGAAGCCCACTTTCATAAACTCCTTTTTTCACACCTGCTTGACATTTTTTGTCTCAAATTGTTATTTCTATTACTGAGGAATGGATGAATTCTTTATCTACTAGATTGTTGTTTATTAACATCTGCCTTCTTTGGAGTCAGCATCCTTTTTCCAGATTTTGTCAGATGTTATCTTTGTCATGATACTGGCAGAAGTAACGGGTTGATATTTTTGGGGTTGATATTTTTTTACACCCATTTCTCTAATTTGACTCTAATATCATAGTGATATATAGTAATTTTTTCCTCATTTGTTGAGTGCATCTCTAACTCTAAATATATTCCATTAAGATCACAAGTGAGACTGGAAGAGCAGCTATGATTTTTCATACTGCATCTTATCCCCACCGCCCTTTTCAACATGTGGAATTCTTCATGGCATATGAGATAACGCCATAATTCTGATTTGCTACAACTACATTTAAGATTTTACTGTTCTACCACTGATTCCTCTATCACCATCCTATCTCTGAAGACATATGAACAAACTGTAAAGTTTGGCATCAGCTTTATAAGGGTATTTGCATTAAGGGCTTTAGGTCAAATCCCCCTGTAATTGAATCCCTCTTTCACTCTGCATGGAATCAAAATGCTTCAAGAGAAACCGCTATCCTGCTCCTGGTGACATGACAGTATGGTTATCTTTCAGTCCCCTTTTCCTTTGTTTCCACAGTTATCAACAGTCCAGCTGCCACTGATTTCTGTTCTACTAAGACATCCTCCTGCTGACATTCACACTGCCTCTTCCAGCTTCTACGCCCTGACATCTTTCACTTCTGTGTATCACTGGAGCAGGTCCTGACCACTTTGGACACCATTAGATAAATACTCCCTTATTTTTTTTCCTTAAATTATTCTCATCTTTTCCAGTTTGACTAGCCCTTAAGAGCTCATTACTGCACAGCAAATGGAGTATAATTCTAACCAAACAACTACTTGTGTTTTAAACAATTTCACTGTTTGAAAACCGAGACGTTACTGCTTTTTTTTTTTTTTTTTTTTTTTTTTTGCTTAGAAAGATCCTCAAACAAAGGATGAGAACATCAATCAGACACAGGA